CAGGGGAGGGGGTAGAGATTCACAGATTGTGTGGAAGAGTGCATCCGGAGGGAAGGAAGGGCAAGCATGAAGTCGTTTTTCACTGAGAACATTAACATTTTTTCAGTGAAAAATAGAACATTAAAATCTTTGACTGTAAGAATTTGCCTATAAAGATTAATAAGAAAAATATTTATGTAGGGTGGAAATAGCATAGATTTCCTACTATGTGACCCGGTTCATGATGCTTGGAGAGATGACAGTAAATACAGCACCGTTCTTTTCCTTCTCATAGACCTTACGTTCTCGCATGGGAAAGCAGAGAGTATATACCCCAAACCTGTATTGGGTGATGATAAGAGCCAAGAAACTTAACAAAAGAAATTAATGAATCCGTAAGGAGTATAGAGAGTTTCCGAGGTGCTATGTAAGAAAGTGCTCAGATTAGGAGCCATTTGGTTGGAGACTAAAGAGAATGCATAAATCCAGATTGATGAACATCTGGGAGAAGAACATCCCAGAAAGAAGAATCATATATGTGAAGATGCTGCGGTAGGGACATAGCTAAAGGTTAATATTTTTGAGGACTAGCAAGGACGCAAGGAAGGATGCCCAGTGGTGAACATTACAAAATGAAGTCAGGCGGTCAGAGGGTGGCAGATTATACAGGATTGTGTAATCCAGGGAAGTATTTGGACTGGGCTCCTTGGAGACGATCATCCAGTACAAGGTTTAACAGTAGATACATTTCTAGGATCGAGTGCATATGATTTGCATGACAGAGTAGATGCAGAGCTTTGGGGTAAATGAGCAATTAAAAAGAGCAAGGACTAGGTTTAGGACTGGATTTTGAAGGCTCTGTTTGCTGAACGGGAATGATTGCAAAATAAGAGCAAGATCCTATTTTTCGACGTCAGATTGAGATGCTTGTCTGCCTTCAAGTGGGCCTGCAGTGGACGCAGGTGTCCATGGGAGGCTGACGTTCGGGAGAGAGAACAGGGCTAGAGATACGCTTTCAGGAGTCATCGGCACAGAGATGGCTTTTCAAACTGTGGATCTGGATCACACCTCCAAATAAGTGTCAGAAGTGAGCCCAGGGCACTTTTATGTTTAGGGATCAGGAATATCAGAAGAAACCCTGCCAGTGGGGAGTGAGAGGATCCGAGGGAGCAGTGTCCCAGAAACCGAGTGTAGACAGTGCTTGAGGTAGCAAACATATCCACTGAGCTGAGATGTTAAGATCAAGGCCATGAAATAACCCTTCAGCCCTGTGGAGGTTGTGTGTTGATGGCATTGGAGATAAAAAATGGCTCACTGAGTACCTTGAATAATACACCCCGAACAAAGGAATCCCTGTTGTATTTTCTAAGTGCTGACAAATACTTCAATGTTTATGTTTTACATCTTGAGGCTGACTGCTCCCATAAATACTGGGGCTCCTTGGAAGCTAAGACACACATCACATCGTTATTTGCAAAACCTTGCTCTGATGCACTAGTTTTAACTTGTCTAGACTCCTCCCCTCCAGTTGTTTGCCTCCCATCAGAAGCCAGGCAAGTGCATTAGAATGGAGCGATTAATGGAAGTGAGGAAAATTCCATTTTCTGTGAAAAACATAACTCGGCTCAAACAAAATAGCTTGAGAGAGAATTTTACTCTTTCAACCCAGTTCCTCCTGGTGTGGACAAAGATCGAAGATCAATGATACTCCAGGTCAGAGATGAGTTATGGGCTTCCGTGGCCAAAAGTGAAGTGGTTATGTGACTTCATTCTCTGGAGACCCAGGACACGGCAGTAGTGAGGGCTCTTCACCCCTTGGTCACCTGCCTCTGTTCGATGAAGAATGTACATGCCCTTCTTCTAGTGAAATCAACTGCTAACACAGTGTTGATGCTATTCCATGTATCTGTCATCGATTCAATATTTGCTAGCTTTTGCAGAAAAAAAGAGAGGCTAGGAAACCCATAAAGAACCGAATCTCCCCAAACCAATTAAAATCTCTTCATGTAATATGTCAATTTTCATTCCCTATGCCTTAAAATACAAGGTATAAATAAAACTGTCTCCTGCCTTTCTCCCATATTGTGCACATGGACCGATTTATTTCCTTCCTACACATGAATCCAGTGGAAATTTATAGAGGGCATGGAATTGGCAAACAATCGACATGGCTGTTAGAAAAAGGAAGATATTTAAAATTTTACCATATTTAATTCACACGTTGAAAATGTTAACTGAGAGAAATCATCCTTTTGTGTATGGCTCGTTCATGGTAAATATTGGCCTTGGGAGAAATTTGAATGTGTTCTATTCTTGTCATCTTCCTTTTACCCCTTGTGTTGGGAATGTTCTTGCAATGTGGTAGACATTTGTTTACATATTTCTTTCTCCTCTGTTTGAAATTTATCAGTTATTGTTATAAGGATGCTTTCTATAGTATGCCAAAATCTATGCTCTTCGCTTTGCAGCTGATAAACAATCTGTGCTGAATTTGTTTGGCTTAATTCCAGATTAAACCAAAACATAACAACTAACCAAGCAGTCTTTACTAAATTGAATATAAAAGTAAGCAGAGGTGTGAAAAAAAACCATTATGGACAATGTGTTTAAGTTATAGACATGAAACTGATTGGACCGGCAGACTCATAAAAGGCCCGGTAAACACAATATTGAAAGAAACAAGTCCCACAAATTGAAGAGAGAATGGGTGGTTACATTTTGGGGTGTTTTTGTCATGAGCTAAATTTTTAATCCCATTTTAAATATTTTAATGTTTTTAATCCCAGTTTAGTACTCAGTTTAAATGGATACCAAATGAACTATTGAGCATTATTTTCAGGAATCAGTCAAAATTCAAATCTCAGTTTTGACACTTACTGGGAACCTCTAAATGACCTTCTGTAAGGATGCAATACCAGGCACTGTGATAGGGTTTGTGTCAACTAGAATGGGCCAGGATTCTCCGTGGTTTGGCCATTAAAACATAGTAATTCCCCACGATGTGATCTAACGCAACATAATTGCCCCCATAATGGGATCAGCTACTAGCAGCCCTCAGTTATAAGACTAGGATGGGATGCTACACTTTTACTCATGCTACAGGTCTGATGCAATCAATTGGAAGGGTGTTTCCTCACGGTTGTGACTTACTTCCAATTACGTGGATGCTGTGGGAAGCCTGCTTGCTTTTTGCTGGGTCTGAATTCTGATCTGGCTCCTCTACCTGTAGTTCTTGGGTCTTGAGCCAGCAGCCTGCCATGTTGCCTGCTGATCCTGGGTTCTTCAGCCCCCAAACTGCACAAGGTCGGCCCAGCCTCTAGCTGAGCATCTGCCCATGGACTTGAAACCTGCTTAGATTTGGGGTGGCCCACTTCTACAAGTGTGAGCCAGTTTCTTTCTTTCTTTTCAAAAAACATTTTATTGGGACTCTTACAGCTCTTACAACATTTCATACCTTGATTGTATCAAGCATATTTGTACATATGTTGCCATCATCATTTCCAAAACATTTTCTACTTGAGCCTTTAGTATAAGCTCCTCTCCCACCCACCCTCACCTCCATGAATCCTTGATATATTGTTATTTCGTATCTTACATTGTTGTCTCCCTTCACCCACATTTCTGTCATCCCCTT